TGGGCATGACAGTATCTGCCGACAAAACCATGTCTTCCTTCGACAGTGAGGGTTTGTTGGGGAGGGATTCTGGACTGGATGGACAAGTACTAAAGCATGATTTTTAAATGTTAATTGGTGGCATAGTTTTCATCAACTCCTGGCAAAGTTAAAAAAAATAAATAAAAGTATATGTAAATAAAACTCTCTCATATACAAAGAAACATGTATCTTGGTGGAAGGTTGCCAACTGTCTTTTTTTGACAAGGACTGACTTTTACTTTGCAATCATTTTGTATTTCCTATTTCATTACAATATTCTGTTTATTAGAGATGATCTTTCCAACTAAAAAACCAACGTTCTAACCCATCAAATCCCTACTTCTGAGAACCACAAATAGACAGCCTACACATCAGAAGGCCTGAGGTTCAATTTTAGTTACGCTGCCTACTGAAGATCTTAGGTGGGATCTCACTTTCTTGAGTCTTAATATCTCATGGGTAAGATGGGTTGAATAGTAAGTGTATATTTTACAAAATTAGCACAACTCATAATAATGTATAAATTATAAAATACTACTAGAAGGCAGTAGTCACCACCAGAATTAATTGTCACTGGATCATAATGGTGTGTGAATTATATAACTGTACCTGAAGGCAGCAGCAACCATCACAGTCAACAGCTATTGGAGAGGACCTAACTATTTGTGCTTCTTTAAATCTTTTTCCAAAACAAGATTTTTCAAAATTTGTTTAATGTCTCTGCTTGGCTGTTTTATGAAAAGGCACTATCTGTAGTAAAAGGTGGAACTTTTCTGACAGATATGTACACTACAGAAGCCTACTGGTATAGACCTGAGAACTTACAACTGTAGACTTGCAAATCTTTCAGTACCTACAGGGTAAGAAAAAAAACTCCCAGAATTTAGACACACAGCAACCCCAAACTGCTCAGTCACTACTACACAATCAGTATGGTGAAAAGGAATGCACCCTGAATCAGTCTGAATGATGTTGAAGGGATGCAGGACATACCGTGGCTCAGCCAGGGCAGCTGTGCATTATTCCAAGTATGGTGATGGAACAGAATGACATGGGGAACATGGAGCTCAAGAAACGAAAGCACTAGCTTATACTTTGCTCAGGTAACGATGTGTTCATAGGAAAGGGCAAGATCTGGCTGGGTTTTTTTTTTTTTTTTGTCTTTTCGAGACAGGGTCTCCTTGTAGCCCCAGCTGTCCTGGAACTCACTATGCAGACCAGGCTGGCTGCCTGCCTCTGCCTCCCAAGTGCTAGGATTAAAGGCGTGCGCAACCACACCCGGCCTGGGTTTTGTTCTTAATTGTTCTAGAGGAACATCTAAAAGACTAACATTGTATCAGAAATATCACAGCTACCAGTCATAACTGGAATCAGGACTATTTCTATAAATGGGGTAAATCACCCCACAGTATGGCTCAATATCATTTCTGTTGACTTTCAGCACACCAAGCAACCCTGGGATGTTCATTTAACTGTGTGGGTATTTTGAGGCCCAGAAAGGAAACATGAGCCTGCCATGCACCAGAGAAGTCATCCCCATTGTAAATGAATGCATTTGGGCTCTAGCTAGGAATATATTCTTTTACATTGGTAAATGAGACTTAGTTCCCTCAAACTGCAATAGTTTCTAATAGAATCAATTATTTTTCTATAAACGTAAAGGTCACGACAGGCAGAAAAAAAAACACAATCCTGAGTTTTCATTCATACCAGTGCTTGCTCGTGTCTGAAGTCTGACATGCTTCCTTGAGACATGACTTTTAAATATAGAATATCAGAAAGAAAAACAGATTTTTGTATTGATAAATTTTATTTTTTAAACATTTAATTAATTTTGTGTGTGTGCATGTGTATGTGTATGTGTGTTGGCATTCTGTATGCCACAGAATGTGTGTGGAGGTCAGACGATGACTTGCAGGAGTTGGCTCTCTCCTTCTACCAGTGGGTTCTGGGAATCAAATTCAGGCCATCAGGTTTCGCAGCAGCCACTTTTACCGGCTGAACCACCTCACTGACGTAACTGGTAAATGCTTTAATTCAACACATATAAGAAGGCAAATATCAAATTCAATTAAATACTATACACAGGAATATAAGGTTTCATAGGATGTGGTATATAAAAAGATCATAATCTGGGTGCTAGAGAGATGGCTCAGCAGTTAAGAGCCCTCTTGCAGAGGACCTGGGTTCAGCTGCCAGCACTCATGATGGGTGGCTCACATGCACCTGTAACTCCAGCTCTAGGGGATGATGCCCCCACTTTTTTGCCACACACATACATATATACATACAAATAACTAAAAAATAATAAAAATATTTTTAAAAAGCTCATACGAGTAAATTATAATGCATAAAATGTAAAAAGTCATAACAAGACAGCAGCTTGACCTTTTCTTTCTTTCTTTTTTTTTTTTTTTTAATAAAAAAAAAGGGTCTCCCTGTAGTCCTTGCTGGCCTGGAAGTTGCTATGTAGACCAGGCTGGCATTGCTCTCACAGAGATCCGCCTGCCTCTGCCTCTTGAGTGCTGGGATAAAGGCATGTACCACCTGGCCTGGCATTCTATTCATTAAAAAAACATATTTTATTATTTTTATTTTATGTGTATAAGTGCATTGCCTGCATGTACGTGAGTGCACCCATGTCATGCAATGCTGCAGAGGTCAGAATAGGGCTTCAGATTCCCCTGGAACTGGAGTTAAGGATGGTTCATAGCCACAATATGGGTGCTGGGAATTGAACCTGGGTCCTCTGCAAGAGCAGTCTGTGCTCTTACCCACTGAGCCATCTTTCCAGCCCCTCATTTTTAACTTATTTTAAACTTTTTATTATTGTTTATGTATGTTTGTGGGGGGGGGTCCATGCATGTGAGTGCAATATCTGTGGAGGCCAGAAGCATCAGATCCACTGGATCTGGAGTTATAGGTGAGCTGCCTGACATGGGTGTTAGAACCAAACTTGAGTCCTCTACAAGAGCAGCACATGCTCTTAGCCACTGTGCCATCTTTCCAGCAGCCCTTATTTACTTTTCTGATACATTTTTGGGTATAACAGGCTGGCCTCGAACTCACTATGTAGCAGAGGTATGAATCACCATGCCTAGTTTATGCATTGCTGGGGATCAAACCCAGGGCTTTCTGGTAGCCAAGTACTTTACCAACTGAACTACATCTTCAGCCCAAGAATTGTCCATTTAAAGCAAACCATTTGCAGAGGTTATTCCCAATCTGTGTGAAAGACATGGAGGTGCCAAAGACCCTGCCATGAAAAAGGAATGGTGGGTGGTTTGTGTTTTCTGCCAAGCAGTGTGTATTAGGTAATACAACTGTAGAGTAAATGAAAGCCAAATCACTTCACATCCCACATTAATTTGGATTTTTTTCTATATACAATAGTTACTGAAAAATTTAAGCTTAGGAAACTTATCTGATCAGAGGCATATTTTAGAAATAACTCTTTGGACACATCAGAAATTGCTCACAGTGGTTATTTCTGCTTTTAAAAAAAATTTTTTTTTTA